CATTTGCTGGAAACCCCTGGAATACATCAGGCTCATTCCTACCTCCACTGGAGCAACAGAAATAATTGGTTTTACATAAAGAGGAAAGCATAAATTGAAGAAAATATTGTAAATATTGATTCTGCCACCAAGGGCTTTACATTAGAGACTGAGTGCTGGTAAGGAGCTTCAGGAACCAAATCTTTAAAAAGAAAGGGTGCATTAAGGTGCATGACAAAATGAAGACAGGCTACAGAAGCTCATGGGAGCAGCACACCACTGCATGCTGCTGCTCCCAAGCAGCTTCAACTAGAAATCTGGCTTTGCTTTTGCTTCGTCAGCCATCTGTATTTTAAAGCACAGGCAATTAGCAAACATTCCACCCCAGTAATGTGGGCTACAGATCCCGAGGAAAAGCTTCTGCTGATGGGTTTCAGGTGAGCAGAGACTGTTCTGGTTTCCTCCTACCACCCTATTCCAGCTGCAGTCGTCAGCAGCATGTCGGAGCCATGGGACCAGGATGAAGTTCAAATTGTACATGAGTGATACACGGTAAAAACGTTGCTCTTTTTAGCCAGTTGCCCCACTGAGGCTGGGTCTGGAGTACACTGCGTGTAACAGGGTGTTTTGTGTGGCAGAGATTCTGGTGCCGCAGGAACAAGGCCAGGACAGCCCTGTCCCCACGAGCAGGGGTTGCCAGGGAGCACGGGGACCTGCAGACCCATGGGGCTCCGCAGCTGCAGCGCTGCCATTAGCGCTGTGGTCACACAGCAAGAGCGAGGGGACCTGGGTGGCATCTGCCCAGGAGGAAGGCGGGGGCGGGGGGGGTCACATCTGCCAAACAGCAGGGGTGCTTTAGGAGGAAATGCTATTAAAGATCTCATGAGCATTGCATACCCAGTTAATGGAAGGATAAACAACCCCAGAGCGCGTCAGGCTTCACCTTCATGTACCACAGACTCGATAGGGAAGAGCAAATAGAAGCCATTGGAACCTTCAGCTGAATAAAACAGTTTTAACATTGCGAGGCTTTCCCAGGCATCCCCTGGGCCCAAACCCTCCCGTGCCTCCATGGAGGTGAACACCAGCCACAGCAGAGAGGTGCTGCTCACCGGCGTAACCAACGTGGGCATTGATTTGCAATGTTCAACCGCTTCCTACCGCGCGATCACGGATTAACGTCAGCTGCTGCACCGCTGTCAGCTCCTCCTCTCTGCCACACGAAGTGGTGCAGGAGGTGCAGGAGGGAAAAGCCCCCCGGGGCTGGCCCCGGCCCCGGCCCCCTCGCACTGTGTGCTCCGGCCATGTGCGGCATTCCCGACTTGTGGCAAAACTGTGGGGCCCGCACTGCCCCTGCCCACCCACAGCCCAGGGCTCTGCAGAGCCCTCTGCGCCCGTGGTGGCCAGGACACACAAAATGAGGCTTTTAGGGTCTGGTCAGAAGGGGAGCAAAAAGAGGGCAGAGACCCCGGGAACCGGCTGGAAGAGAAGATGCTGAAATCAGTTGAACAGTGACAGCAAACAAAAGGAACCGCAGCCAGAGGAGTGTGGCACCAGCTAAGGACCCATTACTGGTGCTCGTGGTGGATGGACCCTGGCTGGCAGCCACGGGCACCACCACCCACCCGGTGCACAAACCCGCCCCACACACCGGCCCTTCTCTGAAATCACAGCTGCCAAGTGAGGACGACAGCATCAGCTCCAGCACGTGGTGGTCAGTGTCACCCCAGGCCAGCTTGGATTGCTCCTACATCCTCTGGGTAGCGGTGCTGCAGTGTCCGTGTGTGCCAGCAGCTCGTGGTGCCAGTTCATGTGGCAGACAACGGAGCTCTCCTCACGCCTCCCAACACAAACAAGGCATTGTTCCCATGCATCCTCCGCAGCAACTCATTCTGCAGGAGCCCATCCTCCTGCCAACCAGTGCTCCTGGGGCTGCAGCTCCACAGGGACCTCTCCGCTCAGCCCCAGGCACCTGCTCCCCATCAGGGGGACCTGCAGACCTCAGACTTTAGTCAGCATCCAGTGTCCTGTCTTGACCCGCCCTGAGCAAGACCTGCTCCTCCTCTCCCACTGCATCACCTCAGGAGAGCCCAGGGATCTGGTGTGTGTCACAGCAGTGCCTGCAGAGCCAAGCTGTGGCAAACGGGTTGCAGCTTCGTGTAAGTCACAAAGCTATTTATTCCTCCTGACAAGTGTAATCATACTATTTCAATATTTAAAGTGAAGCACTTGCTCAGTCCAGCTCTCTGAGGAGAAGTCACAATGTTAAAATCGGTCTGTCGGGCACGGTTTAAAACAAAGCAGCAATAAGGCCTCAAGGCAACACTGTGCAGCAGCTCTGGGCTTCAAAGGATGCAGAGCAAAGAGACAGAACATCACCACTGTCACCACCAGAGCCGACACAGGTTTACGTGCCTGTCGGACACGCTGTGACCATTGTGCAGTGCATCAGTGCCATCCTGCTGCCGGTCACAAGTTCAGGTGCTGCAAACATGAAGGTTTGAGTGACAGGAGCAGGATAAATCTGTGCTTTCGCGGGTGGGTGCTGGCAGATGACAGCAGCGCTCTGAGGCGCTGCACGTGCCAGGGTGACGGCTCAGACCGATGCCGTCCACGGCTGCTGGAGCAGCCCCAGGGCAGGAGCAGGGCTGGCTGCTGCCCACAGGACCTTCACCCCAGTCCCCTCTGCCGGTCCTCTCTGTGCTTTACTGAACACAGGCCAGGCTTTGAACACCTCTGTCCCAGCCGTTGAGGCATGCTCCAGCCCAGACCCTTTTTGCCCCAGCATCAAACCCAACAGCTCCTGGTTTCCTCCAGCTCGTTTGCTGAAGCTGCCACCAACATGGGGCACAAACAATCCAGCACGGTCCCCAGTAGTGAAGGGAACCACATGGAGCTCTCTGGAGAAGCTGTTCCGCTCCCCTCTGTGGGATGGGGCAGGGTTTGTTTGCTCAGTCCTGCTTTGGAGCAGGATCTGCCCGTGGAGCAGCAGTGGAAGCACAACAGGAACCAGATTCACGTCAGTTTTCAGAAGTGCTGTGGGAATACAACACAAAACCCTACACAGCTCCTTCCCCACCTGGTCACGAGGGTTTCACATGGCCCGGGAGGGTCCAGCCAGAACAGTTTGGGCAGGTGGTTAAACAATCCTTGTTAAATCACTGCAGAGTAACAGCCAGGCCACATCCCTCTGCAATTCCAGCATCCCCTGGGCGCGGGCTCCCAGGCTGGCACGTGCCCACACACAGAAACCTCCTCCCCTCTCCCTTCTCTGTTGTGTGTCCCCCAGATGTGTTTATACTCTTTAGTGTGCAGCTGCTCTAAACAGGCACCTTGTGGGTTATTTTCAGTCCTTTTGGCATGTTTCCATTTTTTCCTCGTAGCCAAAATGAACACAAAGTTAAGGGACAGTTAAAAGCATTTACAGTTGCTTAAAGACTCTGTTCCTGGTTCAGGAGATAGGGGAGAGGTCCTTTAACACCAGCAGATGAATAGACAAAGAAAGAAAAGGGCTCACAAGTCCCTTTTAGACCATACTCATATGCAGCCAAGTGATGGATTTAAAAGGTTACTGCTGGAATACGGTTCACAGCAGTCTATTGCAGTGAATAAATATCATGTTTACATATCCATTATAACAAAACAACGCTGCACTTCCAGTATTTCACGTTGGTTTGCCATCTGGAAGCTAAACAAGCTATGTAGTAAAAAGAAGAATTCGATTTTGCATTTACTAAAAGGAGCCATGCAAGTTTCGGTTTATGGCAGGCTATTTCCCAGCCTTCACAAGCAGAAACCTGCCCACAGGAGAACTGACTTCACCGGGCGGTATCAGCCCATGGGGGAGGCACACAAGCCAGCTCATCAGCCACCTGCAGACACCAGCACCTCAGACAAGAGACAGAGCACTTCATGATCAGATTTATTTAATTAAAGTCCATTGGCTGGTTCACTGCAGGTCACACCCGAGGCTGCCAAAGCAATCTGAACATGTTACAGTCACTACAAGATGCTCACAGATTTTCCCAACTAGTCCCAGCCCACAGAAGCCACAAGGTCCCTTCCTTCACCTGGCACCAGGACTCACATTAAGGGCAGCAGGACTCAAGTTGCAGCACCGAGCTGAACTGAGGCCCCGGACCCCGGTGCCAGAGCCCTGGCGCCTCTAAAACCATCCCTGTGTGTGCACGTCCTTGCATTTACAAACCCACCCTCCTGGTGCAGGGGACAAACACCAGCTTCACTGCTAACCCAGAAAGGAGAAACAATCAGTTCTGCAGGGGGGTGGGCAGTGACAAGGAGAGGTCCCAGCGCCGCTGGCCCCAGCACACAGACAGCCCAGCTGGAAGTAGAGGAAAATTCAATCACTGCCCATCACTGGAAATCGGATCATTCCTTGGGTAAAGCCAAGTAGGTCCAAATGACTCCAAAATACTTGGATGGATGTGGGGTTATGAAAGTGAAGCTTAAGCAAGGCTCAGCCCCACCAAGGTTTGTGGGGACACTGGAGGAAGTGAGGCATTAATAGAGCTTTATCTAACTCTGTCTTTAAAATAACCTGTTTCTGGCCTAGCAAGCATTTTGATAATATATCTATGACATGCTTTGAATATTTCCTTAAAAAATGCTGAAGACATTTTCCCTACTTGAGAGTTATCTACAGGAGGTCTCTATGACACCATCTCCTTTTACAAGTCTACCCCTAACAAACATCAGGGAAATACGTCAGATGCTACAGGTTAAACTTTCATCATATCTGAAAGTATACAACTCTTTTAAAGTGTATTTTCAACATGAAAAGAGCTAAAATCACAATTGTATCCCATTGCGCAGTGTGTGTGAAATCAAGACCATCTGCACAGCTTCCAAAGTGGAACTCTGGAGAACAGTGACGGCAGGGAAGGGGCTGCCACCCCTCTCCTTCAGAGCACGGAACTTTCTGCGCTACTGTCAGCATCTTCGGCTGAGAAGCCAGCTCTTGGAGAATTTCAGGTTGCAATCACTTTAAAAATCACAAGCCATTTGTCCTTAATTTGCCAATTTTAATGAAGAAAAACCATTAATCAGCATTTCCATGTACAAAAGTCCAATAAAACATGATTTTTTTTCCTTTAAATCAGTGAATGGGAAAAGTTCGAGTTAAACTTATTCAACAGTAAAAATCTTCCAATTTCCACTAATAGAAATTTTTTGCTGATGTGACTATAGGATAATGACTATCCAGAAATAAATAGCTATAAATACATTCATTGTTCCTATTCCAAAAATAATCACATAGGGAAGACACAAAACTGAAATTAACTTATTTGAACCTCTTTCTTTACAATGAGATATGGGCAAGTTATAGCAGAGGGACTCAAGACAGGAAAAAAAAACCCAAGTAGGGAATAAATTGGTCCAGTATTGACATTCATGAAACATACCAGTTAGCATAGTTCATCCTTTAAATGACACTACTCAGTCAATTTTTATTTGCTTCGGGTATACATAATGAAAGCACTTTCCTTTGAATCTTTGCTGAGGACAGGTATAGTACCCTGGAGACACTGTAACAACCCCTTCGGTATGCATGTGCGTATATATAATTATATATAAATAATCATGCATCCACACACACATTTGTATATCAACACTGCATGTGACCGTTAAATCCATCATCATTCATCATTGGCAGCACTTGTTCCTCTGACTTGGCCTTGATTACGTAACTGCAGAGAAAGAAAACACACCATTAAGCATCAACAGTTCCCCCTAACCACAACTTCCAAAGAGGCAGTTTCATTAAACGCCAAGGAAAATAGGGCAGGGTGGTCAAAACATCACCAGGGCTGAGCACGTCACACCAAAGCAATGCAGGACCTGGCAGGGAACCTCAGTTTGGGCGCTGTCCTCTCGGGGCAGCAGCTCCAGTCTCTGAGGACTTAAAAACTGCTTTGGCTGGGGATCCACCTGCAGCATTAACACAGCCACAGCGGGAGACACCAGTGCTGGAGTCCTGGCACAAGGGCTCAAAGCTGCTCCTGTGCAGCTCCGGGACAACCCACTTCCCGCAGGAACCAGTTTAACACAATTTACTGTTTGTAGCTATCTGTGTGGAACTCTATTTCCAAAACTTGTTGTGCTTTCAAGATGACAGGCCACAGCTGCCCTAAGTTCAGTGGACTAAGCCCACACATCACTTTGCTACTGAGCACATCGCAAACAATGCTCACGGCTTTTCTGATTTGCATCCCAAAAGCTCCCTGCAGGCTTCAGAGCTCAGTGATGAACAGGTCGGCACTTTGGTTTTCTGCACTAGATAAGCACAAAGAACCAGGTTATGTGGCCAGCACCGCAGGGATCCTGCCACGGCACTGGGCGCCGGCCCAGCCTCACACAGTGCCCATCCCTGAGGCACCTGGACACCAAGGGTCACCCCTGGCTGTTGATCACCACAAGGTTATCACACAGGAGGGAGCCCAGGCCTGGAAGCGTTATCTGGATACGCGTCCGTTTGGGCAATTTCTGCCATCAACTCCCATCCATCAGAACATTACTCATTTTTCTCCCTTTCCATCCAGCAGTTGACTTACACAGCTTGATTTGCCTCAGAACCTACAGAGAACTCCTCTAGACGTCAGCAGCCAAAGTGCCTCGAACGGAACCCTTCTTACGCATCTAAACGTAAAATAAAACTGTGAGCTCCCACATAAAGAACCTGTCGCACGAGTGTTAGTAAGAGAAGTAATGCTCAACATGACCAGGACTGCTTTCCCGTGGACAGCACCAGAACCAGCCCCAGCTACAGCTGAGGGGGTTGGAGATGGGGTATACACTGTTTCTTTTTGGTGAGGAAGCATGGGCAGCAGCTTTATAAATGATGCTTCTTAAACGTTTGACAGCCCATGATGCTTCAGCATGGAGCCACCGTGCTTGAAATACCCAGTGTGGCATTTCCACCCTCACAACAGGGTGTCGTTTAAACCACAAGGGGTCAGATATATAAACCACTAAATGAGAAATAAACAGTGAGAAAAGGATGGGTTGGGACAGAGAAACTCTGGAAGAACACTGATGAGGATTCAGAAAGGAACAAAAACGTAACAAAAGCAGAGATCCTGACTACAAAAATCGACTTTAGATGAAGAACAGGACCAACAAAAGAAACAAAATGTGCACAAAATCCAAAGAGAAAGATTAGTTCAAACCAGGAAGAAGAAAGGGTGTTAATAAGAAAGGGAATAATGACAGGAAGCGATGCAAGAAAACGTAATGCTGCCAGTATCATCAGGCTTGCCTCCTGCAGTTGTTTGGGTTTAAGCATCATAGAACTGCACAGTGCAACACTCATAAAAGCTGACTGCTCCTCTGCAGGGATGGAAGCTTGAAGGTATTCCTGTCGTATAAAGCACCTTACCACTGAGTGCTCACTTCCCAGAGGTCCAGGGCATAAACCCAACGTTTTGTGGTGTACTTGGGATTTAATGAAGCTTACTGCTTAGCACACTTGCTGAAGTAGTTGAATATGAAACATAAACCCAAATTATTTGGGATAAAATCAGCATTCATGTTTATTTGGCATCATATATAGGTGTTAGTAGATATTCCTATTATAATAGTTGAGAAAACAAAATGTTTTAACAGCAGGTCCCCACTCCTCTCCCATTTCACAATACACATAGAAAAGGTGTGTTAGTGGAACTAGTCAATAAATTTTTCTTGTGAAAAACTTCAGTTCCTGATGCTAACGTCTTACACAACAAACTATTTGAAATGAACTATTTGCACTGCTTTGCAAAACAAGAGATAGTAAATAAATACATTCAATATTTAAGCACAAGTGTCACACCCAGAAACATGTACCCCAGCTTTTGCTGTAGAACTAAAAAGCAGCAAACATTTTGCAAAACATATTTAAAAGCCATTACTTACCAGCGAGAACTGGAAACAACTTTCTCTACAAGATGCCACATCCACAGTCCAGAAGGGAAATTCTCTCACGCAGAGAGATGTGTCTCTGCTGCTCACTCTCTCCAAGACATGCCCTCCCCACACTGCCACTAGCCTTTCTCAGAGAAATGGGATGAAGTTGATCTCACTCCAGATAAAGAACTACGGGTGTGCAAAAGAACCCTTCTGACAAAAATCAGTTGCAGAGAGGAAAGTGGTTATTCTTCCTCCTTCACAGACACCCAGGAACAGGTGACTCTAGGAACAGGTTCTGGCATAAAGTAGAACTAAAGAAGAAATCCTCATGACCTGAGAGAACACCTGCTATAACCAAAACCAGCCGAATGCCACCGAGAGAACCCCATGTTTGCAAGTGAGTGAGCAGCATTCTTTTCAAAGCATATTCTGGGAACTGCCAAAGCAGCCAAGCCCTTCAGCCTATCTGGAAAGGGAGTTTGGTTTTGCCAACATCTACCTACCAACACTCGGAATAGTGAAGAAACTTCTTCCAAATCCAGAAGACATCTCTACACAATGTAAGACCATTCCACACAGATCGTCCAAACATGGAGAGCAGAACAAGTGGGGATGGAGAAGCTACTGCTAGTTTTGATACTATTAGATGTGGTAGGCACAAACCAAAAAATGCCCTTCAGAACTGCTGTCTGTGAGACTAAACCACCAGGCAATCACTTTAAAGATGTCTGGCAGCTGAAATGAGTTAAACCACACAAAAAAGCAAGTTACAGCTGAAGACACATTGTGTTTTGAAAGAACCAAGACAACTGAAGGAAGGTAACAATCCGAATGGGTTTGGGGCATAAAGCCATTGGGAAAATGGGAAGGAAATTGAATTGCAAATCCACAGACTGCAAAGAACCTAAAAACCCTACAAGATTTAAAATGAGAAAGGTTCAGGCCAAAGATTGTACTCTACAAAGACACTACAGAAAAGGCTTCCTGCCTAGTCTGTGATGTTCCTCCATCTCTTAAGGGAAAGAGTAGAGAAAGTAGCCTATGGATGAGTTTCCTTCTAGGCATGAGCCCAAACACAGACCACGCTATACATGTTTGGTCCTCACAGACACAAAAGCGTGACAAGCAACACTCTCTCAAGCCCATTGATTTTACTGACTTCCTCTGTTCAAGTACCATTCTAAGTTTCGGTGTGCTCCTCAGGATGAGTGAACAACTGTAATGTGACATATAGCAGCTTGCTAGGAGACATGTTTGAAGAGAAAAGGTAATCAGATCTAATGATGATTAGGAGGACACATGATGGAAAAGCAAGAGGACAGCCCTTAATCCTAACTGACAAGTGGTAAAAAAGCACCAAATGGGACTTTGTGCAATGGGTATGGTGCCAGAAAGAAAGGTGCTCAGGGCAGATATTCTGAATTCAGTGACAACAGAAATATTTACCTTACAGCCACTTCCAGCTTGACACACACAATATTCAGAAGCTTGACGTACATGGATCTGCACAGGACAACCACTAAAGGGGCTGTATTGCTCATCAGCAATTGCCCAAACACACACAAGGGGAGGAGCACAACATAATTTCTGTCAACTCCAAAACAGATAAATCTACAGATAGAGGGCACACACCCCCAAACTGCAAAAAAGCATTCTTACCGCTTCCAGCTCTTTTTGGGTTTCATCCTCCATTCTCCTAATGTCTTCCATGGTCAGGTCAATCCACTTGTCAATCCAACAGAACAGCTGGCGATGAAAGTTGGTAAATATCCTTTTTTCTTGCTTTAAGAAGATAAACAAGCATTAGATAACAGGCCTCATTTCGCAAAAGCTTGCTGAAGTGACTGCAGCTGCTCCGTGGGAAAGGCTCTAATCCTCAGGAGTAGCTGTCTCACACTGCACAGGCTCAGCTTCCCCCAGCGCTGGACCCACAGACCCACCTGCCTGCCCACCCCAACCCACCCACCCCCAGCAACACCCAGCAAGACAGCACTTACCTTCTGAATGAAGTTTTCCACTTTGTTCTGCAGTCCCCACCATTTAAATTTGATAGTCACCAACTTGTAAGCACACATTTTTGGACACTCTTCATCAGTTGCCAGCTCCTTCTGTTCAGGGATAATGGGAAGGAACTTTCACTTTTTTAAAATTTTTACTTCAGTCGAATGAAATATAATTATTAGAAACTATAACTCTATTATATTATTTATATTTATATTCATATTAATCATATTATTATTTCATGGTAAATAAAAAAACACTATCTTACTATAATTATGAATTAGATTCTAAGTATTATTAAAGCTATAACAATATTTAGAATTTTAAGCACTAGTAAATACCTAGCACTGTACTGTGAACATAGAGCAATAGAGATTAACAATCAGGTTAAATCTGCAAGGCAGTTCCATCCATGTTGCGAACATACACTATCAGTCTCAGTCCTTAGGGAAAGAACCAAGCAATCAACCAAGGAAAGCCAATAGTATTTGAAAAAAAAGGTAAAAAATTGTGTATTTGGCTTAAATAAGCAGCAGTTGCCATCAGAAATCCACAGTTTCTTATTCTTTAGATCTGCAATAAACTAGTAGAAAGTAGAAATGCTTTACAGCTTTTTTTAAGCTTGATTTCTTCTAACCATCAAATGGACAACTCCAGTTGGACATGCACACAGTGAGCAGACTGATCTGGTCACAGAAAAATCTGATGTACAAATATCTGGGTGAATAACATGTATTTAACACAGAACTTTTAGCACAAATACTCATCACCAAAGACCACTCCAATGAAAACCAATTATCCTCAGAAGACTGATGTTCTATTCATGAGCAAAAAAAGAAAGTGCTGTTGTTGTTTGCTATTCCCAAACAGTACAAGTCTATGTCCAGGCATTAGTAAACGGCAGAACTAAATGGAACACCCAAGTTCTGTGCCACCAGTTCCAGGCATTCAAAGTTTTCCTGCTCATTCTACAGCTGTTTATAAAAAACACACCAGTCACTCCCCACTTTCTTTGCGTCACGCAGGCTCAACCAGGCCATTCCTGCATCAGCCTCCTGCTTCCTTCCTGAGCAGGAACAGCAAACTCCCAAGGCAGGATGCACATTTTCAGCAGCGTACAAAAATAATCCCTGCGACACTTTTACCCTGCCAGGAGGAACACTCGGCCCAGGTAGAAGGAGCATTCCAACAACAGGAGGTGGAATAAAAGCCTCCCCTCATCATCACCTTTAAACACACAATATGCTTATTCTTCCATGAGACTAAGCTAACACTCAGGCCTAGGACAAACCCATCAGCCAGAACTAAGATCCACCTGCCTCAGTATTCAACAGTAGCTAATGGAAGAAACCCATGGGAAAATATGAAACCCAAGGGAGACAATCTTGGTAATTCACTTACAAACTCTACCAACTTCCAGCTTTTTATAAGCTGTGAAACTTTGTGCAGCAGAACTACTTTCTGTCCTTGGACACAAAGGGAAGAATTAAGGCCATGTAGGTATGTGTAGATTGGGCACTACAGGGCAAAATTAGGGCACTGCGGAGGCTGGAGGGGATGTTCCCTGACCCCTGGCGCAGGAGCCTGTTCCAGTGTTTGACCATCCCCACAGCAAAAAAAAGTGTTTTCTGGTGTTCAGGTGGAATTTCGTGTTATTTCTGTGTCTGTACAAAGGTGGAACATTTTCTGCCTACTGCTTGCAAAACCACGTTTTAGGATAGGGTATTAGAGACTGAGAGCTTGCTGGTGCAACACATCCTGTTCTACGATCTGACGCCTGCCTTGCCGCTTTGCAAAAAGTAGTAGCAAAATAACTGTGACATCTAAATAACAAACTAGAAGAAAATTCACACCTCTCAGAGTAAGTCCTTCACACTGTATTTTGACAGAAACATTCATGCTGTATTTAGAACTTGTTTGGAAAATGAAAGACTGAATGTGTTTACAAGAAAATTTAAGAAAGAGGGGCACCAGTTGAAATGCATTCAAACTCCTCAGCAATTCAGTGTAATTCATCACAGCACACACTAAACACGAGTAAAAATATGCTACTGTCAATGACATTTCACTTACGGTAAAGAAAAAAGTGAAAAATAATATTCTAATTGGTAACTAGGGGCCTGTTTCTGACAGGCGGTATCCACTCTGTGTATCCACTGTAGCATACAGCAGTTTTCTTCTCAGTTTCTATGAGGTTATCTGGTGTAACAGAGAAAGTTTATTTGGCTTTAGCAGAGATGTTGAACAAGTAGCAGACAGTACCTTTGCTTACTAACACACTTGGAATTTTCACTCAATACAAAGAAAATTATTCAATTTCTGCTCTCTTCTGAGACTAACATTGCTGGTGCTATGGTTCTCCAAGGAACCTTGAACTTCTTTTTTTCTGCTGATAAAGACTTTGTAACGCCAGCTCTCAGTACCTTCCAATTTGGCCCCAAAGGTCCTCTCTTCGTCTTAACTGACTGGAATAACGCAGGGTCTTCATCAGCTTTGTAGTCCTGTAACATAAAAAATCCCCACAAGAGTCAGAAAAACTCCAACCCCACTCTATTAAGGTCCTGTTCAAGCCTAACAGATTGTTGGAAACACTGTAAAACCCCTCCTGAGTTACCTACAAGTAAAATGTACAAGTGAAAACAAAAAAAATCCAAAGAAAACAGATGAGTCGTAGTAAAGTTTCCTGTGCTAGAGCCTACATACAGAACCTTTGAACCAAGATCTGTAAGGACTCAGTTAAACTAAATCCTGTTATGACTATTAAACACCCACCCCCCCACCCCCCCCCCCCATCTAAATGAATGTCTGGATGGACAAGAGGGTATTGTAGGAACTTGTCTCAATGCACAAACCCTACCAGCATGTGAGGAAGATGACTGGACTAGAGCCAAAGTACAAATAAACAAGAGTTCTTTGCAGAGTTTAAGGAAAATATCAGTGCAGTGGGAGCTTAACTCCTGACAGCAGCAAGTCCTTCTTAGGAAGAAAAACAGGCGGCTGTTGGAACAAATATTACAGCTAAAAAACCCTGAAGCACTCTTGAAAGCCAGACAGGCAAAACATCATCATGCAGCAGCATAACAATATAGAGGAGCTAAAAACCATTTCAAAGAAATACACAAATGTAATTTCATAGGCAGTTTCTGCTCAAATTCTCAATATAATATGCATGAATGCAACAAACTGTCCTAAAGAATTATTGAGAGGCTGCAAACCACACACGATAAAGTAATGATCACAACAAACCCAGGGCCTGGGTGCTTCTTTATAATTCTCATTCTCATTTCTGAGACCTGCTACAAGTAATAGCAGCATTCCTGATAGCTCATAGCTCACTCTACCAAGCAGCATGAAGCTTGGAAGCATATGCACAGGACAGAATGATTGTAAGATTTTTAGAACCTAATATTAAAATGATGCAAGTCTGATGCTTTATCTGCAAATTCCTGAGAAAAGCTTCCTGAACAATGAGTGGTGTAAGACTCAGGACACGGGGACACAGCTTCTGGCTTTTCAACTCTGCATCCCGTGAGGTTTGAAACAGGAGAACACTCAAACTGTCAGTCAGCAGAAAACTCTACATCTGAAACAGGAGAGATCCACCTACTGGAAAGCAGCCCTTCCACACAAGAATCTTTTAAGACTCTTTTGCAGACTACAAAAGAGAGCATTTCCTATATTCCACTATATTCCTTCCAATGGTGGAACAAGGGATACTACTTACTACACAGCTCATAGAAATCCTACCTCTGAGCGCATGCATTAAGTAATTTCACTGATTTGTATAAAACTGTATTTTTAGAACTTTGTTTCAAGTAACATAATGAGACCCACCACGACTTAGAACAAGACATTTCATGTATTCACTGTATAAAAATAACTATAAACCTGATTTCAATGCCTTTGTTTTCACCACACTCTACTTTCTTACAAATTGTTTCCAAAAACGTAGCCTCTCCTGATGCTACCTGAATGTTCACTTCTGCTTGCTCTTGAAAAAGTCTTACTCTCCTGGGAAGAGATTTTTATATACAAATCACACAAAGTTACAGAGATTGGATGCTGGAGATGATTAAGAGAAGGCAGGGTTAAATTTATATCTAAAGAAAGCCACAGATGTCAGCCAATTTCTTTCTATACATACTTCCATGAGCACGAGTCAGCATATGAATGCCATTAGTATCTTAAAGAAATTTACTATTTTTATATTTATGCTGATTGTAGTTCTGAAACTACAGTAACTGCTACACTACAATGGGCTGGACAAGGTTCACTCTCGGAACAAAAAGATAAATCTGGAATATATGAAAATTTTTATCAAAATTGCTGGATCTTATAAATGTAGTTCCATTCTCTCAGCCATGCTGTTATCCAAGATAATGCATTTGAGCTGCTTTTCCAGGCAAAACTATGACTGAGAAAACAAATGTACAAACAAAACTTTCCTTTGCAACACTATCCTTTGCCCTAAAAAAACAATGAGGGCACCAAGAAACCTATCAGCCAATTTGAATAATTCTCAAAGCACAAGCACAGTTACAAGATAAAGCCATACAACGTGCCTGACTTCAGAAACCACCCAACAGAGTGAACCAATGACTGCTCCAGCATCACTGAAAAAGACACTATATGCCTGGACAAACAGAAGACATGGAAAACAGCTGACGTTTTCACAGGGGACAGTTACCTTCCAAAACCAGCTGCCTTCTCTGAAGGCATAAAAGTGAGAGTGTAGATCCAGGACATAGCTGGACTACCAAAACAAAATTCCACATGTTCCATTACCTAAACCCTATAAAGATACTGGCTTAAATGGAAAGTCTCTCTCATGGAGTCACAAGTGCTAAGAGAAAACAAAGGCAAGAAACTACAAATTCTCGTAAGAGAAGAGACTACAAGAGTGGGTCCCAGAGAACTGTCTAATCCCCAGCTGTCCAGGAAAGGGGCAGAGCAGTGGGGTGGGAAGGACACCAGACTACAGAGTTACCAATGGCTGCACAGGAGTTTGGGTACAAAGTCAGCCTTTGTTTAATGAAATCAGGACTCCGCAAACCTGAGTTTCTGGGAGATGAAATGGAAATGAAGGTTTGAAGCACATGGTCAAAGTGAGTCCCAAATATTCCTACACGATGATGAGCTCTACTGTGAGCTTGGATTTCAAAATATCCACTCAAAATATTTGCTACAAGCACAAATGGTTTTAGAAGTTACTAAAAAAGAAAGAGAACGTAGAAACATCAGAAGACATGTAAGAGTCTGGATGAAGCCATTCTGCATTCACAGATGCGATGCTCTGCAAGTCAAATACACAATAGAAAATCATTGTTTTTTTTTAAAAAAAGGAAAAAAAAGAAAAGAGGATAATGGACTGAAAATCATTCCAAGGATTTCCACACATTAAATAGCTGATAAACACAATAGGCCAGATATAATCTGGAGCTCTGGAAGCTCTTTAAATACAGACTGATCTTTCAGAGATATGCATCTCCCAGCTCCTAGTAGGTACTTCCCAAATTTCTTATTCTTCCATGAGTATCTGCTACAGACCACTAACAGGATATTGGGTTAGATGAATCTTTGTCCCGAGCCAAAAGCAGAACTTCTTTTAGCACAGCACCATCTGTCAGTCTTCAGAACAAAGGAGGTGTGGAAGGCAGGCCGAGGAACAGTGCAAGAGGATACAGCACAGGCAGTGCTGTTCACCAACAGTACCTCACACACAATAAACACTTGGGTTCAACTCGCAGTAACAAGCACAGCCCTTTGTTTACATGTACGGCAGTCAAGCAAGCTCTGACAGGTGACAGCATTGTAGCTGTCTGCCACAATTCCAGGCATGGAATAGTGAATGCACAGCATTAATTTACCTGCCAGTTCAGCTCTAAGGTCGTAAGGAATGTCTGAAAGAACAAGTGGAAGCAAAACGATGCCTCACTGCATTAAAATAGGCAAGACATTTAATTTGGTTTAAAGGGAGGATCTCCATATGAGGCATCGTCACACATGTAAATCCACAGACCACCTGGTAAACATTGGCTAAGCCACAGTGCAGGGTATACACCTACACCAGTAATGCAAGCGGACATTTAGGAAGCACAAACCTTTCCCTTTCACACACCACAGCCTTTCCTCTCCTTCCCTGCAAAGGAGTCCTCTCTTCACAATACAGGATATCCAAGTATTTATTTTCAGAAAATAACAATTAAATAGTGTAAAGAATGTCTCCTTGCACAAAAACAAGACAACTACATTTATTGTGCAAACACAAATTGCTAAGTGCCAATATTGGTGCGTACCATTTTCCTACTACCCCAAAATTAATGATTACACACAAAACGGTCCAGCTGTTAAAACTCAACAACCCAGACAACTCCAGTAGACAGAGATGCATAGAAAGCAACAGCAGTAAAACCAAGGAAGTAAGGCAGCCACAGAAGTACAGCGAGGCTGCCCTCTAAAGCTGCATGAACCAGCATCTAAAATCAACATATTCAACCTTCTTAGATTAATCATATATACTACAGAGACATACCCTGGCTGTGTGCACTGGCATTCCAGACTCCCCCCATGTGCTGGCCTGCACCCTCAGAGTGTGAGCATCCAGTTTAGGGAGGGGATTCTGCCCCTCTGCTGTGCTCTGAGAATTACCCCCCTGCAGTCCTGATAAAGTTCTGGGGCAACAACACAAGAGGGATGTGGAGCTGCTGGAGCGAGTCCAGAGGAGGCAATTCTCTGGTCAAATTCAGTAGACTGAACTGGAAATGCATTTACTGAGTGTGAAACTTCGGAATTAATGACTCTGTTCGAGATGATTTTCATTCATGTGCTGGGTAAAATCACTACCATTTCAGTTTATTCACAATCAATGCAAAGCATTGATAGAATTAGCTGCATGCTACATCCCTATCCCAATAGGAGAGCATTTACTTACTCCTGGCTCTACTTGAGTTCTATCTGCAATGTCGATATGGACAACTTCAACTGTCTTCCATGTGTTTGGATCTAAATTGTGCACCTGCAAGAAGGGAAAAAGCCTTGTGAAACAAACAGCTTATCAGCCTAAGTCACACTAGCTTGCTTAAGGTAAAAGAACATGAAAGTAAAAAGAAGTTACTGAAAATCTACTTCAGCATTTGAGTGACCTCAATATAAAAAATAAAACCCTTCTCTCGTTCTTGCATCTCTTTAGGTGAGACCTTAAAAGGACTTAACTAATGCTTTTCTTGTTTTACATTAACCACTGCTAGGGCTTTGACTTCATGCAGTAGTTATCCACCATTACCAGGTATACAATGCATTACCTGAATGACTATGTTGAAAATATTACTCATGCTTGGTATCCAAATCCCAACTCACATTTTCTGATGTCCCCAAATCCGGTTTATGCCAGGTCTCAATTTTTATGAAGAAGTCATCTTTCATGTATTCATTCTGTAAGAATTAAAAAAGCGTAAGAGTGATTACAGCTCTCTGCTTAAAGTATAGGTAAATGGTATTTACATCTAAGTCGCCACTAAGCCTTGACTAGCAACACATTCTGTTTAAATAACAGAATAATTTTCAAATTATTAAGACAGTTAAAAAAAACTAAAATACATTTCCATGAAACTTGGAATAAATGAGACAAGGGCAGGGTAAACAGCTAACGAACAGTTCACGTTACTGTACAGCACAAGTATGATCGTGAAGATCCAGCTACCACGAAGTTGTGTTTCTGAAGACTAGCACAAGCCACTTCTCATGTCAGAAGTAAGGAAGCATACACCAGCATGCACCTGTACCACAATGAGTCAAACTTGACAGTTCACAAACTCATCTGTTGCACCCACCTAGTAACAATCTAAATTGAGTTTGCAAGTGAACAGGTAAAGCAATTTAACATGAAGCTTATCAGCTTCCTTGAACACAGCACTGAAATACATACACAGGGAAATAGTCTCAATGATCTCTTTTCCACACATCTTAAAACCCCCCAAAACCCCAAACCCCCAGCTATTATAACCCATTTAGATTCTCAATTGACCTGTTTGAACTGAGGCTGGATTTCACTTTGCAGAAATGAGATTTCAGATACTGATTTTATTTCATTGGTCTTCCTGCATTCAAGAGTGCAGAAACCTCTGAATTGGCCCTTTTGGTTTTTTTCCTTTTTTAGTATTATGTCTTACAGGACAGACATCATGCAGCTGTAATGGTACGTAAAGGCATAAAAGAAGATGTAAAAAATGAAAGCATTTCCCTGGCAAATTATAGTTTTTTTTTCTAAATATAGCCATGTGCAGACAAATAAAGTAACAAGGAGCCAGAAACCCTAGCAAGACATACAGAAAAGGTTGGAGCTTGCTTGCTAGACTCAGAGTCAACTTTAGCAATAGTAACAGAGAAAACATTCCAAAAAAAACCCCATAGGACTGATAGTAATTCAGATACTCACTGTCACAACTGGCCATTGGAAACACATGCAATGAAAATGAAAATGAAACAAAGTATTATTAGATGCAGTTCTTTCTGAAAAGTCTCACATATAATGATTGCTTCACAGTACAAGAATCATCCAAAATCAGTCTAACAGCATTTGTGTGCAGTCAGCAGAGTTCAGCAGACTTTGACTTGCTTGCCTTAACCTTAAAAGTTCTTTGTAAGGTACCTGAAACTGTTCAATAGGAACAGAAAAGAAACAGCGCCTTCTCCTAGAACTTAGGCAATCAAAAGTATTAAAATAAAGCAGTCACCTTATTCTAACAGGCTATGAGGAATTAAATTCTTTTCAAACAGGCTCTGTTCTAGACCCTAAGAGAATCACCTCTTCGGTCTTATCCCAGGGACACAGGATGCAAAGACTCCGTAGCAGTCTGGTCCCCTGAGGCTGCTCTCCAGAAGCAGCCCTCCTCTTCAGAGGAGATCTCACAAACACAACATTAACATTTTAAACATATTTGCCACTTGATGGTACCCTCTTTTCTCTTTAACCATTTAAAACCATCCCTCAACTGAACACTGAAAGCAAAACATACAATGAGAGACCTACTTGTTCTACAGTAGGGATACGCGTTCCAAGCCTTCTCATGGAAGACCAGAGAGCCTTCTGGCGCAATCATCCTCACAAAGCCAGGAACTTTACTGTGAAAAACAACGTTTTAGAAATGTTTGCCAGCTGAAATTCCTCACTGATTTCTTCCAATCCAGTAACAAAGGCAGATTTTACCTAAGCGCTTTCAAGGTTATGATGGCCAAGTTGCCCACAGTTAAATATGCAGGAACCCCAACAACATTACTGAGCTTGCTTTCCTGTTCAGGAACAGCAGACAACTGCTGACGGAGAGATCTGCTCCAGCAGAGCTGCAGGCTCACCAGTGACCAAGCCTGCAACCCGGCTGTCCCGCAGCCTGGAGGGAAGGATTCGGGGACTTTAGCTGTGACTGAGGAGGAAAACTGCAGCTCACCCGAGGCATAAGAATCACCATCTCTGGTAACTGCCCTCTAAACCAACAGAGCACCACGGGGGGGGGGAATGGATGCTTGGGGAAAGAAAAGTACCAAAAGCTGGTGCAGATCAGATATTTCACATGGTTCTCCATTACTCTACCCCACATACTTCAAACCCACTGTATCTCACATGTCACTCACCAGAGCACTCATGCTCAATTCAGCACATTACACAGAGGTAGAAAAGCGCAAGGACCCACCCAAGAGCACGGAACAACAGGAGGCTGCCCTCACTTTTAACATTCCATGCTCAACACCAAGTGACCACAATACACACCAAAGCTGTCCTCACCTCTTTAAATGATAGATTTTGTGGGTATATTGCCCCTTCTCGCCATCCTTCTCATAAGGCTCGTTTTTTAAGACTTGAATTCCTTCACCACCTCCTGTTTCGTTTTTGCTAGCTTCTGCCACGGAATAAAGTTGTCCAACTTGATACTGAAAAGTTAAAAGAAGTAAAATTTCAATATGAAAGATAGCCAAAACTTTTAACGCATTAAAAATTTAGATACTTCCAGTGAAAATTTAGTAGAATAAAACTATCACTAAAGTAATATACACCATATAAAAATATTTAGTAAAACATGACAATCTGCTGGCAAAATGTATCTGTAGTTCACAGCACCAGGTCTGTGATCAGCAGTTTCACTTTAATGTCATGCTTTGGTAGAGCACAACAAACACGTTATTCTTTGCTTTTCATATCCTAAAACCAAAGTGCATGCATTGTTCTTAGCTGTATAAAAGAAATGTAACTTTAAGTTTACAGATGGTGAAATAATTGATTTCCAGCTCCGAGCTCCCAAATTCATACTTTTAACTGACTAGATTGGCCCTCACAGGACCCATAAAATGTGAACTGCAGAAGAAAGCGAGCACCCCACTTTTCCTCAGAAGCACATTCAGACATCCCATCGTGACTTCCATTTAAATGTATCTCAGTGGCATTTAAACTGCTGGATTGAGATTTTGGAAGATGATTTTGTCTTCAGGAAAAGGATTGGAGTCATTCAATGCCTTGACAGCAGGAAAGCTCTGCTGCAGTGCAGAACTTCACAACTTTTCCTTCCTTGCTTGTAAGCATGGAGCAGCTCAGAAACAACTAAAGGTTCTTTGCATGCAGGCATTTGCCTTCTTTGGATTTCACTGATCTACAAGAGGTCAACCCTGCCTAACTGCTGGCTTACACGTGGTGTAACTTTCCTGTGGCAGGCTGGTGGGTCACAGCACAGGGAAAACTTGGATCCACACCAGTCAGATTTAAATAAGACTCTAACATTGTCCCACCCATCACCCCAAAGCAAAACCAAGCAGGATGAGGACGTACCTCTTGCACTGAGCAAGGTAAAACCACTCGGCTGAAAGAGGAAAAGAACAAATTCAACAAAAGTAACAACTACGCTTCAACAGCAGGTAACATATGAACTGTAACAAAGACACTCGCAAAGGGAGCGTCAGAATGAGCTCATTCCAGTTTTCTTTTTAGAAACACTGTGTGCCAGGAAGGCTGCATGGATACACTGCAACAAACCCAAGAGAAATCCAAGACAATTGTGTTACAAAAGGAAAAAAGTGGTGAAGAACATTAGAAGCTGCAGAGAAGGGCCACAAAACCTTGAATCTCCTTCCAGCTCTGCCATAACTTTGTACTGGGCTGAATGTGTTCAAACCCTGAGGCATGAGCTTCTGTCACAGTTACACCATGAGCGGTCTCATTCGTGCAATAGAACAGGACAAACCCTCAGAGCCTACAAATGAACTGAGCAATTACAGCAGTTACGAATCACATAAGAAGGATCCACAGCTCACACCCTTTCAGGTGCCAGAAGCGAGTGCATTTGAGGTGAGCAGCTCAGTTCTAACACAACTCGCTGTGCAGCCAACAGTGGTGCCATGGATGCAGAGCTGGGTTTTCACAGTCACAGGAGCACAGAACCCTGCAGTGACAGAGCCTCTCAGCTTCACCTTTCCTAACAAAACAGACAAAGATGATGCAGATTATGCTTTTGGCAAAACAACATCACAGAACTGCATTGTTCTTAGGGCTGAGAGTGACGTTACCTCCTTGACTGACAACCTTACGGCCATTCAAACTCAATGCAACACAATCGTCCCGAAAGCACGAATATAACCTGAGCCTGTCCATGATGAGAACTTACAGGATGTACACAGCCCACTGTCAGCTCGCAGGAAACACAAGACAGAGAGATGGCTTCTCCTACAAGGACTGGCGTGACCTCTTGCTCCAACATGAGTAGGACACTTGCTTCCATGTCATCCCCTGGACACAGCACCAGCACCTCAGCCCTGCCCAACTACACCAGCTCTCTGAAGTTCAGGAAAATATGTGAAGTATCCTCGGAAGTCTGTTTGGAACCTAACACACATCTGCTACTACCTCCTGTTTTGAGCCTACGCATCACCTTTACAACCACAACTGAGACCATTCCCGACTTGGAGACGGTTTAAAGCCAAAGGAGCGAGCGGGAGGAACACACCAGCTGGCTTGCTGACAGAAGACCGTACAGGTAAGGTCTACGCAGCGACATGGAGCTCCTGGCACCATCAGAGCAATGCAAGGCAAGACACCGCTCCACCACTGCCACTCGAGTCCCTTCCTAAGTGGACCGGGATCCTGACCCGAAACAGCCTCGGCGCCCCCGTCAGCCCCGCAGGGGCACATCGCGAACACGCCAGCCCCGAAGGAACGAGTCTGAGGAACTCGTGCGGGGCCACAACGCACAGCTGCGGGCGGGGACTGCCGCGCAGGAGCGCCCGGGGGCCTTCACCGGGGCCAAGCCGTCACTTCGGGCTGAAGCGCGGGACGCGGAAGCAGCAGAAGGCGGACCCGCGCCCCGACCTCAGCACCAGCCCCCGCCGAGGGGAGGCGGCGGCGGCAGCGTCCGCCCGGCTCAGGGCCAAACACCGCGCTCGGCTGAGAGGAGCGGCCGGCGAGCTGCGGGCCGGAGCGGAGCAAAGCGGGCCCTACCCCGCCCGGCGGCGGCCGAGCCGAGCCGAGCCGAGCCGGGCCGGAGGCCCCCCCTTGCCGTTCCGTTCCGCTCCGTTCCGCGCCGCGCGCCGCGCCCCGCGCCCGCCGCACTCACAACTCCTTGGTCAGCACCATCTTCCCTGCAGGCCGCACCGCGCAGGCGCCGCCCGCCCATGCTGCACCGCGCGCTTCCGGGACAGGCCCCGCCCCCGCGCGACGGCGCCACCAATCCCGCGCGTCCTCGCGCCCGCTGCCGACCCGAGCTCTCCCCGGCGCGCTGCGCACCGCGCCTGCGCTGCCCGCCACCAATCCGAGAACGCGCGGCGGCCGACCTCACCCCCGGACAGCCAATCAGACCGCCCCGCCACGGCGGCTCCGTTCCGCTGCCTCCCCGCCTCGCTCGCCAGTCCGGTGACGTCATCTCCGTGCGCCGGCGCCGCCGCTGTCCGCAGGCCCCGGCCAGCGCCGTCACGAGGCGCCGCGGCCCCGCCCGGTCTCCGAGCGCCCCCCTCCGGGCGGGGCCAGCGCTGCAGCGGCCGCTCCTCCGCGGGGGGGTTGGGGGGCGCGGCGGCCCTGGGCGCACCCGCGCCGGGGGAGCTGAACCCGCAGCTTCCCGGCTGGACGCGGGCGCTCGGGGAGCAGCGGGTCCGGCCGCGCCGCTCCGCGCTGTGCCCCTGCCCTGGGGCACGGCCGCCGCATCCCCGGGGCTGCCCCTGCTTTGCCACGCGAGCGCCCCGCAAAGGGGAAGGCGCTGCAGCAGCCCCACGGGGCCACCCCGGTTCTTTAAAAACAAGCAGAAAAGGGAAAGAGCCGACGAGTCCCGGCTTTTGGAGGCGTGGAAAGAGGCTGGAATCAGCCCCAAGGGCGGAATGCACCCCATGAGGCTCCCGAGCCCGTGCAGAACGCGAAACGCTGCTCCCCGAGGACGGAAACTGCCGGCGGCCCTTGGGGTGCTGGTGCCTCTGTCCGGCAGCCAGTCCTGCTCCATGGGAGAGTGGCGGGGTGAGAGCCGGGGCGGGACACGCTACAGGGTGAAAGCTTCACATCTCCCGGCTGCCTTTATCCAGCACATCTCTATTAATACAAACAGGGGAAGCTGCCTAAAGCTTTACTCAAGGCACTGGATCCTAGAAGGGAAATACACAGAGCGCCGAGTTCAAACAGGGAGCCGCTGGTAGCACCAAGTCTTTACGTAGGAACCTCTGGGATACCAGAGCACAGTGCTGGATTCCAGACCGAAACCAGAAGTGTAATTCATGGGAAGCTGATGCACTTCAATTCTTCTGCAGGGAATTGGTGGTGGATTTCTGCAGTTGGGGTCTCCTGTTTGTGCAGCCATCTCCACACAGTGCCCATGTTCCCAAATTGTGTCCTTTTCCCTACTTCCAGGCCCACCCCTGCCCGCCTGTTCCCTTCAGGAGCCATCTGCTCCAAGTTGTTTGCCAGCAGCTAGAGCCGATGATGCATTTACACATCAACTCCACTAAAGGAGAGCAGAAACTCAGACAGTAAAATTCAGTGTTGCCAAAAGACCCTCCCACAGAGGGCTGTGCCTGGGGGGTGTGACCGGGCTGTGCTGCCTTCCCCATTTCCCTGTACTTGGTTTTCCCAAGTCCCGGCTGAGCCCAGGCCTTGCTGCTGCTCCTTCCCCATACGGACAACAGTCGTTCTTGGCTTGCTCAGCCGGCTGCACTATGTGCTCTCCCCAAGCCCCTTCTCTTTGTTTATATCTAGATGATACCACAGTTGATAGCAGCTGAGAAGCTGCTTCCTGCCGATTCCAGACCCCACGTACACACGTGCCACTTCAGACCTGCCCGGCCTCTGCACGTGGAGGGCTTCCCCCTGGCAGCCCCACAGCCCTGCACCAGACCCTCCGAGCCTGCTGAACACAGGTTTGTGTGCACGGGAGGGAGACGGTGGCATTAGAACACGAGAGAGCCGCTTCAGGAACCCTGCACATGGGGACCGAGTGGTCCTTGAAGCTCCTTCCAGTCCCAACAAGTGAGCAAATATCGATGCTCCCACCACCTGCAAGGGAAAAGCAAAGCAATTTCCAATCCTGGTTTGTAATAAGAACTCAACGTTCTGGCACAGTAAGAGGAGGAAGTTCTCAATGAGCCCTCACTGCCACAGGAGAGGCCGAGCACAACAGCCCAAGTTACTCATACTTTGCTACAGGACGTAGATCGATGTGGACCACAGGCCAGAGGAGCAGATCAGCAGTCAGCTGGGGTCAGGGCAGGGTGCAGTGTTCTAGCAAGTTCTTTCCCAACACCATCCTAGACCACGAGACTGAAGTACTGAGAGAACTCATGCTTTAATAGACACAGAAATCACAAAGGAAGAAGGCCAAATGCCTTAGCAATTTCAATAAAAATATGAAAATCTTTTTACATGGTAAATTTCATAATATAAAAAGTTTAATGCTGTCTGGAAACAGTTTTAATTTACAAAGAAAGTCCATATAGGCCAAAAATGGCTAACACTGCATACAAGGAGAGCAAGTGCTGAAGGGCTGCTGCTTGGCGCATCTCTGCTGACAGTCACCGTCCTCAATGTGCCCTGAAGGAGTCCTGCAGCCACAGGGCCACGTGTTGCACGCACCTCTGCAGCCTCTCTGGGCAGCACAACCCAAACCCAAACCCAAACCCAAACCCAAACCCAAACCCAAACCCACCACCAGCTGGCAGCCACCAGAGTCTCTTCACAGGTTCAGATACTTTTGTGCACCTGGATCTATGCTGCAACTTGAAGGAGATGTTCACGTAAGAAGTTTGACGTAGTAGAAGGAAACGTGGCCTAGAGTGATACACGTGGCTGTAGCACCCCTTCGATGCTGTCCCCTTGTTTAAGTAAGATGTGGTTAAATAGAAGGAAAATCGGTACCAGGCCAGAGTCCAGGCTAACCAACATCAAATTAAAGTGGATTTGGTCAGAGCTTGTTACTGTTCCCATTTAGTTGGAGCTAAAGACAGTCAATAAAAAGATCTGTAACCTCACACAGTAAAACATACAGGGCAAACCCAAACTAAAATAGATTCTACAGACTTGAGGAATGGTTGCATGTGGCAGGTTTAGTGTGAAAGTGGGTAACACCTAATTCTTATTGCTCACTGTATTAAGCAGTGTTGTCACTTGTACCATGCACAAATACAACATCAACAAACGCATTTAAACTCCACAGAAGGAATTCTAATACCAAACAGAGAACATGGTATTTCATTTCCTGAATTTCTCCACATATTGGGCAAACCTGATTAAATTCTTTTTTTCCTCACAAAGGGGTCATTTCTCATTCAGGGGGTGGAGGAGTGAGGCACGAGGTGTGGGAAGTGTCCCCAGCCATGAGTAAGCATGCACCTTCATGGCTCTCATCAAGCCAATGGAAGTGCCCTGTGCAAGTCAATGGAAACTCATTTCCCAAAGGACTTGTTCTAGTGACACTCACCTTCCACATTTATACACCAATTTCCCACATACTGAACGTCCTCTACATCTGAACCCTTCCCTGTTTCTAACGTTTCCCCCTCCCTAAAAACCCAGGGAACCATCCCTCCCCCCACCCCAATGCACCTTTTTCTGAAAACTCTGAGCCAGTGTGAAACCCACTGGAACACGGGGGTGGCAACACGGAATTTCTACAGAGTAAAACGTCCTTTAGTTATGGAATTAGACTACAAGTAGAGAGGCTTATCTTATTTCTGGCATGTTATGCAGCACTACAGGGAATATTTGCTGTTGCTATGCACAAAAAGCTGCCCAATTCCATCCTGGGTGATCCTGGGATGCCATTTCACAACAGCTATGCTGGTTAGAAACAGAGCAGGTCATAGGAAGGCTCTGGGCAGTGCAGTGGCCACCACAGGGTCACTGCATGGGGGGCAGACGCTGCACCCATTATCCTAATTTTTCCTGCCAAGTGACAAAAAGATGGTATCTAGCACCAAACCATCACAGAGGGATGTAACATACAGACACGTAACTTGCATCACAGGCGCTGAACAGATTTACTCAGCTGTTTTGCTACACTGCATAATATGAGTAAATGAAAAACTACTCTTTGTCCTTCTGCACTGACACTTTTGTGATCACCCATCCCTTGTTAGCTACTGTAACAACACAGCCCTATATTCTTTGCCTTTAGTGCTTGTGTTAATTTCTTGCAATGACAAAAAGGAAAACGTTCTCCCAAACCCAGTGGATTCTGGAACATACTCAAAGCAAGCACTTGATATATGCACTGTGAGTAACTGAGCCTACGTAATGTTATATTCCGGTATCAGAATTGAATCCTCTGTCCTGCTATCATGCTTTTCCTCCAAGATCCCTATCACAAAGGATCAGATCCATATTTTCAAGAAGAGCATCCAGACATGATAAGCGCAACAATTACCTGTGTCAGCAACGTGCCCCAGCACGTTTACAGAGCTGACTGCACTCACCATTCGGGTGGTCAGTCCCACAACCAGAGGCTGACTTAAGATCCAGCTAAACCTCAAGGCCTAATTAAAGCCTCACATCACCTCTGTGAGGTAGGTAGGTAAGTATTACTATCCCCATTTAGATAGAAAGGGAAGACGAGGCACGGAGAGGTGAAGTGATTAGGCTTCAGTCACTCAGCGAATTTTGGGAGTGCAGCATAGAACCCAAAAGCCTTGGTGATCCAGTGCTCCGACTTCATAGCACGCGGCCTGTGAAATTCTTGCTCCATCTCAGTGTGCAGGTGGCCGAGCTAACGCTGCCACCTGCCCACAGTCTTCAGTGCATGTAAGGTATCATTCTGAGTCTGGCTCCATCACTGCGTTCAACAGCTACTTCAAAGAAACAATCTCCACCTTGCCCCGCAACACCCAAACACCGCCTAGCCCAGGACAGCACGGTTCACACACACCACCCGGGGTGCTCTTGGCTCTCTTTTCTCCAGGGATCTGAGGGTGCACAGGTTCTGCCTACAGCCACTCTGCCTGCTGCCTCATGTATGTGCTTGGACTGCACCGACATCTGCTTAGACCCGCGTGCCTGCTCCAAAAGAAACTGGCTTCCACAGCAGGGAGGGGTTTGCAGACTCCCATGATGAGCTGTGGGGAATGATTTAGCAGGTCCAGCGAAGGATTTATTTGTCAGGTGATTTCTGAGTCACACACATTGATGTCACATTCCTGCCTACTAAATAAATAATGCTCTGAGCTTCAGTGTCTGGAACCCTCTCCTGTG